TGCCACAGTACATGTATGAACGTCAGTGGACAACTTGGGGAATTCATGTCTCTCTTCCACCATGTGGGTCCCAAGGATTAAACTAAATTCTAGGATTCATACCAAGTGCCTCTGCCCACCAAGGCACCTTGCTGGCCCCAGAATACAGATTTTTAGTGTTGTTACTGTGTATACACGTGGAAAGCCCTACTTTCCTACCTAGATGCCCTTCTAGACCAGACCTCCAACAACTATAGGACACAGTCTGTGCTTTGCAGCTTTATAAATCAGTGACTGGTATGTGAAACATTAGTAAACAAAATGCCTATTTAATACCATTCCCATGCCAGTGCTTGGGAGCAGGTAAGTCAAGTAAATTACACTATTTTGGGGTTAGTGTAACTGCCAGCATTTTCAGACTCTGAAATAATTATTACAGTATTAAAAAACCTTACTTGTAGAAGGGGGGCTGACAGGGAAGAGGACCGGGGTAGAGGGCGAGAAGAAGAGACATCACAGACACGTTTGAGAATATCACAGATGACCATCATAGGCTTCAGAAGCACATGAGGACCCATCAATCTCTGGTGATGGCACAAACGGACCAAACACTGAAACACTGGTGTGTTCATGATTAACACAGATGATGAACTAAGCTTATAGACGCTGCTCACCTTATACTGGCTCAGAGGGTACTTCTCCAAGAAGTACTCATCGCAGCCGCACACCTTCAGGATGTACTTGCCCTGGTACTCCAGGACGAAGAGCTTCAGCTGCTCAGAGGACAGCAGCATACTGCGGGTCTTCTTCCTGATTGCTTCAGCGATGACTTGCTCTGGCACATAGTCGTGGTTGATCTTCAGAGTGTATTTCTGCTTGTCGTTATTTGGAGAGAGTATGACCCAAATCACCACTATGATTTGTCCTCTATCTAACTTGCTGTAGATGTGCTTTGGCAGCTCTGGGGAAGACTCCACATTTGGAGGGTAGACATACAACGCTCTGCTGTGAGGCAAGTTGAGATCCCGCAGGTCCACGGCTTCTTTGCACACACTCAGAATGTTCCTTCGGAAGTCTTGGACTTCTGGATCTTTAACCATATCAAATTCACACACTGGCATGCCAATAACAAAACCAATTTCTCGACTGAGGATCTTTTCTTCACGGTTGCCTACTGGTTCAATTACTTTCAAAAAGGGGTGAAAAAGCCGAAGGTCACAAAGTCGTCTTGTTTCATCAAAAAATTCTTCCCTTTCTGCTTCTTGGGTAACACTTACGAAAATGTAAGAAGACTCATCCTGCAGAAGCTGGTGGAGAGGGTATTTCCTGGCTTCCTGAAACAGTTCGCGCTTGATGGTGACTAGCATAGCCTCGCGGAGGCACTCCAAAGTCACTATCATTCCGTTTGGGAGTAAACACTCCACTAGGATTCGTGGGGGCATCAAGTGGATGCCCCACAGTTCTCCGGATGACGGTCGCGGAGGCATGGTGCCGATCCTCTGCAAGCTTAGCTTCACATAGAAAGATACTTCAAGGAATCCGACGGAGGGCTGTCCCAAAGCAGGACCGCTCCGGCTCCTCCTGGCTGCGCGGCTCCCGCCGCATCCGGTCCGGCCCGCGGCCGGCGGAGGCGGCGATGGCCGTGGCGGCGGTGGCGCCGAGGGACAGGACAGCGGGCGGCGCGGCACCCGCCTCCTGGGCCGGCTTCCCGTCGCTGCGGAGCGGCCGGACCAGGCCCGAGCGCTGCCTCGCTGGCCGCCCCAGCCCCAGCCTCCAAGGCCCAGGAACTCCTGCTCCCTCTGCTGCTCGCTCCACTCGGTGCCGCCCCCGACACACGCCCCCGCCCTCCCCGGCTCCACTCCCGGGCGCAGGGCGCCCTCTCCTTTCCTCTCCAGAATAAACTTTATTGGTCTCTCTGTCTGCTCACATCGTGTAAATGAACAACGAACTCTTCCCCACCCCCTAGGCTTCCCCCTCCAGGGGCAGAGGAGGGTGAGAGCTGAGGACGGCATTTTATTTCTTATAATGCAGTAATTTGTTCTGGGAAATGAAGAAATGGTGAGTCATTTCTTCATTAAGGCAAATCAAGGGAGGTATTAGAAGTATAAAAGATATCAACTGATATTTGGTGTGTACCTGAATTATAAAGGAGAATCAATTACCTAATGTAGGCCAAGTCTAAACTTGGAAGAATAAAAGAAATATTGCAAGGTGTTGGTTATAGCTCAATATCTGAAGGATTGTACAGCATGCACCAGACCTCTGAAAATATCTGTAGTTACTAAACATCTACTCTTATTAGAAAATAAATCTATGTCTATAAAGACAGTCTATTCTAGTAAATACAGCTTCTTTAAAGCTCTACATCCACCAGTATGAAAATAAATTTTAATGATCTGCCCCCGGTCCACGTGAGTGCAATTACTAAGGAAGAGTGTACACAACTTTGAAATTTAATTTAAAAGTACTGAATTAATTAAAAAAATATTATCAACACAGAATACCTAAAATCTGTGAAAGTAAATCAAATGATGGCTAGCCTGTAATTTAGTTTACATTAAATGTTAAGGGTTTTCAAAACTAATTACAATTTAGTGTTTCTTTTGTATATTGCCTGTGCTTTGGGTCAGCAACATATTAAAGACCACGTCACTATAGTTATTATAATACCAAAATTTTAAAAGTTAAGTACCTAAACGCTTGTTAGTTTCATTTATATCCTGTTGCTTTTAACTTAATTGGCTGTGATGTACACTATCTGTATATAATTTCACCCTTAAGAGACGTGTATGAGCTAGTATACTATTTTCTGTATTACATTATGCTGCGTTATGCAAATATGAATCATAAAGCCGCATGACTACATACGATATATATGAAAATGCTCCTGCATATTTTATAGACATACTTCTTTAAATGTGAAACACTGATAAGCCTTCATTATTAATTAACAAGATTTCTATTTTATACTTTTCCATCACATTCAATTAAGTATCAGATGGACAATTAAAACAACCAATTTTACTGTTTTGCTAATGAATATATTTCTTTTAATATATTTGCTCCACGATGATTTAAACATGTATTTTAATGGGAAAAGACTGGCATTTTTCTATTGTGTCAGTAATTTTTTTGTCCTTGTTGCTATCGTCAACCAAATATATTGTTCTGGACATCAAACCATTCCACTGGATGTGCTAGGAGGGCTCTCTGATGACATGCACACACACAGCAGAATTTAAATATGTCATTGTTGAAAATTATCTATTGGCTAATTGTGCTTGCTGTGCACGTCGAGTAGCCCTGTGCACGCCGAATTAATGGAAAGCATGTGGTTTATCAAAACAGCTACTGGATTTGTAACAATACTTACATATGTTTTAGATCTTGTCAACGCAGTGCTAGGGATGGACCCTGGATCTTGCACATGGTAGGTAAACACATTACCACAGCGTTATATCCAATTTCAATAAAAAGATAAATTTCCTAAATATCTCTTGAAATTATAAAATCTGCTCTCCCCTTTTATGAGCGGTACAGCGCACTGGTGGAACCAAGCACCTCGCACGTGCTCTGCCATCTGTCTGCCTCTTAACAACATCTGCCTTGTGCATGCCTGCAGCAGCTTCAGCCCTTAACTGCATCCCAGCATTATACTTTAAAATGTTTTTAATTAGATAGATTAACTGTAAGCCTCTGAGGAATAATGAACAGTAGTTCAGTGGACAAAACAAAATGAATGATACATTACCACTTCAGGGATTATTTTAAAATGGCCGTGATCTCAGCAGATACCAGAACCCATCAGCGATTCAGCCAGGATATTTTCAATTCTGAAAGGAAAACAAATTAAACTTGTGAGCAAAACTCTACACCTAACAATTGTTTCTTTCTAAAATGGGAATTAAGTAAGATGTGAAAACTCAGAGGAAGCTGAGAAAACAGCTTGCTGGACTATTTGTACAGATTTGTTTTGTTTTTGTTCCTGGACATTCTAGGTTGCACCAGAATAGTATTTGGTGGGACTGAGAAGTTGCAGAACGTCAAATGATCATGGGAACAAGGAGATTGGGGGTTAGTAGGACACCCTTTCATGACCACAGTGGGCAGTCACCATTGTCTGCAATTTCTTTCTTTCTTTCTTTCTTTCTTTCTTTCTTTCTTTCTTTCTTTCTTTCTTTCTTTTTTTTGAATAGTTTATTATTTTTATTTTATGTGTATGAGTGTTTTGCCCGCATGTAAGTAAGTGCACCCGTGTCTTGCAATGCCCGCGGAGGACAGAAGAGGCTGTCGGATCCCCTGGAACTGGAGTTACAGTCGTTAGCTGCCATTTGGGTGCTGGAATTTGAACCTGGGTCTTCTGCAAGAGCAGTAGTCAGTGTTCTTAACCGTTGAGCCGTCTCTCCAGCCCCCATTGTCTGTAATTTCAACCTACATATTTCTACAGCTTCTTAACTGCTTTACTCAATCACAAGGTAGTTATTAAGGTTAGTTCACAATAATGCCTGCCTAGCTATCCCATCTCATAACATCATTTGTAAGAAAAGAAACATTTTGACATGTATTTAAATGTATTTCTCGGTCTGTGTTACTTTACTTAATATGACAGTTTCTACTTCCATCCATTTACCTGCAAATTTTATTATTTCATATTTCTTTAATGCTGAGTAGAACTCCATTGTGTAATGTACCACATTTTCATTATCCACTTGTTAGGTGAGGTGGACTTATCTTGTTTCAAGCTCTTAGTTGTTGTAAAAAGAGCAGCAGCGAATATGAATGTACAAGTATCTCTGGAATAGGATGAGTTCTCCGGCTATATGCCAAAGATTGATATAAGCAGGTCATATGGTAGGTTCATTTTTAGGTTTTTGGCTTCTAAGAGTGCTCCGTACTGCTTTCCATGGGGTTTGCAATTCCTTCAGCAGTGAGTGAGCATTTCCCTTTCTCCTCCACATCCTTGCCAGCATTTGGTGTCATTTGTTCTCTTGATCTTAGCCAGTTTTACTGGGGTAAGATGAAATCTTAGGTGATTTTAATTTGCATTTCCCTAATTACCAACAAAGTGGAACAAAGACGTTTCTTAGCCATCTTTATTTCTTCCTTTGAGAACTCTCTGTTCAGATCCCGAGCCCGTCATTTAATTAAGTCAGTTATTTTCTTGGTTCTTTGTTTTTTTTTAATTTTTTTATATTTTATATGTTATTTTTATGTATATGTGAGTACTGCCTGCATGTAGGTAAGTGCACCCGTGTTGTGTGATGCCCACAGAGGCTGTTGGATCCCTTGGAACTCGAGTTACAGACAGTTGTTAGCTGCCATGTGGGTGCTGGGATTCAATCCTGGGTCTTCTGCAAGAACAGCGAGTGTTCTGAACCCCGGAGCCATCTCTCCAGCCCCGATTCTTTCTTTGTTGAGTTCTTTATATATTCTGGATGTTAAACCTCTGTCAGATGTGTCACTGGTGAAGATTTTCCTCCCACTCTGTGGGTTTTCCCATCACTTTCTTGGTTATTTCTTCTCCTTTACAGAAGAAACCTTTTAGGTTAATGAAGTCCCACTTGTTGGTTGTTGACCTTAATTCCTGAGCAACCACTGTCAGAATTAGAAAGTCCTTTCCTACACTTATGCTTTGTAGGTTACCGCCAGTGTTTCATTCTAACAGCATCAGAGTTTCAGGTTTCACACTGAGGTCTTTGATCCACTTGGAGGTGACTTTTGTGCAAGGTGAAAGTTAAGGGTCTAATTTCATTCTTCTACAGGTAGAGACCCATTTTTTGCCAGCACCATTTGTTGAAGATACTGTCCTCTAGTGTGTGCTCTTGGCAATTTGTCCATTATCAGGTGACTAAAAATTTCATGTACTCATGTTTGGGTCTTCAGTTATGATCCATTGATCTACAGGTCTATTTTTGTGCCAGTGCTATGCTGTTCTTTTGACTATAGGGCTGTAATACGGATTGAAATCTGGTATAGTAATCCACTCAGCATTGCTCTTTGTGGTCAGGGTTGCTTTGACTATCTGGGATCTTTTGTGCTTCTATATGAATTCTAAGAATTTTTTTCTAATTCTGTGAAGTATGTTATGGAATTACATCAAATCTACATATTGCTTTTGGTAGGATGGTCATTTTAAAAATATTATTTTTTCCAATCCACGAGCATGGGAGGACCTTCCATCTTTTGGCGTCTTCCTCAATCTCTTGCATTAAAGATTTAAATATATCATTGTTTAGATCTTTGATATCTTTGGTCAGTTTTATTCCAAGATATTTTATTTTTGCCAGGCTATTGTGAATGGGACGGTTTCCATGTACTGTTTTTCTGATTGCTTGTTATTGGTATACAGAAAAGCTACTGATTTTTGTAGATTAATTTTGTTACCTGCCACTTTACTGAAAATGTTAATCATTTCTTGGAGTTTTCTGCTGGATTTTGGGGGATCTTTTAGGTACAGTATCATAGTATAGTACCCCTACAAAAAGGGATAATTTGACCTCTTCTTTTTCAATTAATATTTAATTTCCTTCATTTTCTTATTGCTCTAACAAGAGTTTCAACACTATATTAAAAAGGAGTGAGATGGTGGAAAGTCTTGTCTGATTCCTGATTTTACTGATAATGCTGACAGGATTTCTTTTCTTTCTTTTTTTTTTTTTCCATTTACAGCGATGTTGGCTGTGAGTTTGTTGTATATAGCTTTACGTTCAGGTGTGTTCCCTCCAGTCCAATTCTCTTTAGGGCTTTTATCATGAATGCATACTGAATTTTGTCAAAGAACTTTTCTGCAGCCATTGAAATGACCTTGTGACTTTTGTCTTTGAGTCCATTTATTTATATGATGTGTATTGGTTACCATCATTTTGATTTCTGTTTGCATTCTTGGACTAATTTTGGGTTTCCACAATTATACCCTCATTTAGTTTCTTTCTGTTGACACTTGAGTATAGTTGGTCCGTTTTTCCGTTGTTGGTACTGCTTCAAGTGTTCTCTGAAGGGCTGGTTTTGTAGACAAGTGCTCTTTCAGCCTATTCGTGTTGTGGAAGATTTTTCTTTCCCCTTCAACTGTAATAGATATTTTTGCTGGATTAAGTATTCTGGGTTGGCATCTATGATCATTTGGAACTGGGAGAAGTTTGATCCAGACTCTTCTGGCTATCATAGTTGAGAGTGATAAGTCAACTATAATTCTGATGGGTTTTCCTTTATGTGACTTTTTTTTTTTTTTGCTTTCGCAGTGTTTATTATTCCCTCCTTGTTCTGCATATTTAGTGCATTTACTACGATAAGCTATGGGGAGTCCCTTTTACGGTGCTATTTGGTGTTCTAAGTACTTCTTGTATTTGTATGGGGATGCCTTTCATCAATTTGGGGGAATTTTCTTCTGCAGTCCTAAGTTACGGTCAATACCGTTAACTTGAAATTCTCCTTCCTCTATACCTATGTTGCATAAATTTGTCTTCTTTTCTTTTATTGTTTATTTTTCCATGGCATCTCACATTTCCTGCATATTCCTTTCCTATACTTCTGTAATTTTTCATAATCTTTGCTTGAGCAGTCCAAATTCTTCAACTTTATCATTCTCCCTTGATATTCTGTTTTCCAGGCAATGTGGTCTATTGGTGAGGCTCTCTCCTCTTATTTCAAATTGATTTATTGAGTTTTTCATTTTCGTCTTATTTCAGTCTGAGTTTTCTGTAGTATTTCTGTCTCTTCTGTGAATTCAGTGAGAATTTTATCCCTATCTTCTTTAGTTCTTTGATTTATGTGTGTGTTCTTTAAACTCATTGAATTCTTTGATCATGTTCATGATTGTTCTTTTAACCTCTGTGCCCGGGGTTATCTCTAGGGGCTTCTCATTGTAGAACTCATCTATAAGACTGGTGGTGTTTGGTGGAAACACATTATTTTGGTTTACCATATTATCATTTTTCTGTTGTCATTTTGGCAGGTGGAGTTCTTTTTGTTGTTTGTGATTCTGGTATGAAACTCAGGCCTTCCTTTGTTGAGCTGAAGTCTGTTTTTGTTTGTATTATTGGTGTACCTTTGTTGTTTCTTTATTGGGTATGTAAAACTGGGTGGTCTACGCTTCAGGTTCTCTCTTTTGATTTTATATTGGAGGGGCCATATGGCCGCAGCCAGGCTACTCAGGAGCTCCTGCAGATGTCCAAGTCCGGCTCCAGTCAGGTCCTCACAAATTCCTCATAAGGTCTAGGCCCCTACTAGTGAGAAGTCACAGCACAGTTTGGGAAGCTCTCCAAGGGGAGGCCCATTTAGGTGTTCTCAGGAAGTTTGTAAGGTCTGGACCCCTACCGAAGGGCAGAGAAGCCTAGCCATAGGGTGGTGGGATGGACTTCAGCTGGTGCCAAAGTAAGTAGATGTGTAAGGCACACACAATTTGGAAAGTTCACCGTTATGTGGAGGCCGGATCCAGACACTCTCTGGCAGTCTGCCAAGGTCTGGGCCCCTACTGAATTGCAGGGTGGCCTAGCACTGGAGGTGTGGGAGGGGACACACATGGCCCCAACGTAGGGGGATGTGCAAGATGCAGTTTGGGGAAGCTCACCACCATGCTGACGTCGGATCTGAGAAACTCTCTTCAATTCATTAAAGACCTGAGTTCACATGTAGAAATGCTCCCCCAAATACTGTACAGATGTCCCTGAAAATCACATTTTCACACATCAAAAGCTCGTCAGGAGAGGAAGATCACGTCTGGAAATGGAGTCAACAGTATTCAAATGTAATGAACTACACACCTGAGGGCACATTTAGAAGCCTTCTCCAGAAGTCAAGGACAACTGGCAACAGAGACAGGGACCCCAATAGCAGG